TAGCACAAACTGATAACAGGTTGTGTGTTCCAGCATATCACAAATTGGCACAATGACCGTGGTCGCATCACCAGTCATCGGTGGTTATTGGACGCATATGCGCTTCATTTCATTGGATCTTGCAGTTTGATGCAGCTTGTAATGTGGTGTTGTGATAAGGAAGCTGAACCGTGGGCAAAGCAATCGACGCCAAGCAAGAATTGAACTTGCATCCCTCGCCTTTGGACAGATGTGCTGACAACTGTACCATCAGTGTTGCACTTCAATCGTAAGGCACACCACGCAAGGTTTCACTGTAGAAGTCTCCCCCCCCCCCCCCCATAGAAGCGATTGTTAGATCCATAACTGCACGAACGCGCCGTGATACTCATCACTCTCCAACGTCCCCACGGATCCGGGCACGCCCACACTGGCGGTGTCTAGTCTGTGTCATCGCTGCCCGTTATATATAAAGACTCTGGATCAAGCTTTTTCTACTCCGATGCGTTACAGTTGCTAACAGCCAAGGTAGATAATATGGATGAAAGTAATTATGTGCGTTACTGTTAAAGGCACGCTCCGGGATTAGGCGCGCTCGCCTGTTCCATCCCGGGGGCGGACAAGCGTTGATGTCGCGCCCCTTTTGCCGCTTGAAAGTGCGCGACAAAGGCGCAAGGAGCTCGTCCGACCCGCAACTCACACCTTCGTCCGCAAGCCCCACCCTCCGCTGTCGGTTGCCACGTGGCGCTGCTTGAAAAGCGCGGGCGCATTTGAGGCAGCGGTCCCATTGCGACCCAATGTCATTGGCACTGGAGCAACTAGAGTTAGGTTCGTGAAACTCGTCCAACGCGCCCCTTCTATCCCAAGGTGGAATGCGGCTGAAATAGGGGAGGTCTCTGTGCGGGGCGTAATCGGTGGTTTCGTTTGCTTTCCTTCTCTTTTACAGACCACCTCCCACCTCTAGCTTCATAACTGAACGCTTTTCCACACCTATTTTATCCCGAATCTTGCCTTTAACCTAAGCCTCGCATAAGGCCCCAAAGGACCAATGCGCATGGGGTCTTTCTGATTCTAAGTGGGAGATGAATTAGTGCGCTATAACAAAACAAGCCGCATGTTCACTTAGATCAAGCCTTGCCAATCAAAATACGATGCATTGTTTTGCGAAGCCTGAGCTGAGAAGGCTTCCCATACCTTCCTCTGTAGCAGCAGGCGAAAAGTGCAGTCTGTAGTGTTTCAGCTTACGGCAGAACATCAATTCTTGGGCCTAAAAACCCTTGCGTAAAGGGTTTACAAGCAACGAGAGATCCATTCAGAGAATCGCGTAGCAGATTCTAAAAAACAGGTGAGCTCAGCTAAGGATAACTCTCCAGTAGTGTGCACACCTACAGCTAACTGGAGCGTACTAAAACTAACAAATTTCGGCGCTATCGCATCAGGGGGGGGAGGGCATTCTGATGGCGATGCATTTAAAAACCGCGTAAAACATTGCTTTTTGTAAAAATGGACTGAACCTTAGGCGCGGGAGGAGAGACTTCCAATGTGTGTGTGTGAGCCATTCCCATTATCCTCAGGCAGGGTGAATAACGGTCGAGGAAATCCTCGACAGGGGGTCGTATTTGCTCCGATGAGAGTTGGGAGGGGGTCGTAATCAAAAGGTTCATCAACGGACACAACGGTGCTGCTGCCACTTATTTGCTGTCATCATTAGTTTCACAAGTGTTGTACTTAGGCCTAATGCAAAACACTGCAAGTGTCTGTGTTTGTTCGTATGATACAGTATGGCATAAGGAAAGACACCCGTGTCTGCCAAAAGAATCGTAGGAAAAGGGCAGCGAGTATCTACTCTAGAATGATGCACATGCTTCGAGAACTTAGTGGAGGAACAGCATCTTGGTAGAAAGTTCAAAACAGGCAGATTCGCAGCCTTCTTGGCATCATCAGATCCTGCAACCGCAAGCTGTCATTCATCAGAACGGGTTGGAAAGGAAGCGATTTGAATAAAGGAGTGATCAGACATCACTATGACCACAAAAGTTATTCTAATTAGTTAATACTGGAAATATCTTTTGGTGTGATTAAGCAAGTCGTCACTAGGACAAAACACCTTCCCAATGACTCCGAGTGGGGTCACTGCATGGCGCATACACAGGAACGGAATGGATCTGCGCCAAGTGCATCATTTTCAATTTACTCCATCGAACTGACGTGTACAGAAGTATTTTGAAGGTGTTCAAAGAAGTTCCCTACTACGGCAAGGGAGTAATAGAGTTTTCGAGTGGCTTCGAAAATTTCCTTGACATTTCCTCGACGCAGATTTCTCGCGAACTAGAAAGCGTTCGAAACAAATGGAGCACCTATCAGAAAGCGTGAATCTTCTACTTTACAACGCTTCCTCCGGATTTTCAAAGCATTGCCAATGAAGACAGCTACTGCCTTTCAAAGAGTGGGAACTCGCATGTGAATTTCAATTTCCTCGACAATTTCTCGACGTTTTCCACTCTCGAGAATAGGCGTGCTTAGAAAAACGCTCAGCACAACTTAGAAACTAGAAGTCTCGTGCATTCAAAAGCTGCCTTCACTTTCTGAAACGGTTATCAATGAAGAAAGTTATAGTCCTTTGAATAGGGGGTACATTTGACGATTTTTCCAACTAGCGCGCTCTAGGCACAGCGCGCGACGCGATCGCGGGTAGTTAGCGCCGCTATAATGGACTGGAGGCGGGAACTTCAACTGTGTAGGGGCAGTACCTCCTTCAATGTTCTACTTTCCGGCCAATGTGGCAAAGGTTAAATGTCTTTAAAGGAAAGAAGGAGAACCTAATCTGAGCAGAATTGAATCTAGCATTTGGATCAAGCCGCATTTGCGTGGCAGCGGCGCTGCGTCCCTCTCGCACATCTGAAACTAGCATTTTTTGATATGAAACCGGATGTGCAGAGGACAAAAAGGGGTCGTATCAGAGTTCATGTTTTGGAGGGGGGTCGTAAAGAGGCGGTTATTTCCTCGACACGATTTTCACCCTATCACGGGAAGCTCCCTCACTCTCGTAGTCTTAGCCCCTCGAGTATGCCCCAGTATATTGCGATAACGCACAAGCATTTTGTGGAATCTCTAGACCTTGTGGAAGTATTCGGTTCTTCTCTCAATTTCTCCTGGAGATAATGATATCGCATCAAGCCAACATGCTCTCGTTCTGCAACTGCTCCTAACATGTGATGAACTTCCTTTCGTTGGTTGTTAGAAATGTAATAGGTAGCACAGCCACATCATCCAGGGATGAGATTACAAATTGGATTCACTGGTTTATGCTCACAAAAGTTTATAGAGACCATTGAATTCATCACAATTTGCTTGAGCGGTCAAATGGTGCCCACCCAAGTGACCACCGATAAGATACATTAAAGACTTATCAGAAAATGAGATGTTCTGAACACAATGGTGAAAAGGTCTAGCTTAGTTTCGTTTTCTTAACACGGGTTAATGAAGCATATATTTTCAACAAAATTAATTTCAACAATTTCCATAAGACGAAGAGAATAACGGCCAAGATCGACAACAGGAAGGCGATAACGTCTAATGAAGTGATACTGAACGAAATTTAGTTTTGTACCGGCTGGAACAAGATTTTCCAGGGTTTTGAATTCGGCTAAAAATTCGGACCACGCCACCAGAAGATGATCTGCGCTCACAGGCTTCTTCTTCACCATTTGTGACAATCTCTTGATGTTTTCAGAATAGCTGGAAGAGGGCAATTTTGAGAAAAGGTGGAAATCATCCCTTGAAATTCTAAAAATTTATCCAATATGTTGGTGTCTTGGAGAAGGAGCGGATTAAAGAAGCACATGTGGATCCCATTCGTCTATCCAAAATAATTTTACCTGCTAAGCTCATGTGCTCGCGAACTCGCATGAGGAGGAGAAGAGCACTTGTGGGGATTAGCATCGCGCATTTCAGGTAACCGAAAAGTGCTTTGGGGTGGGTATGATGCCACTGATTACCTACTCCTTGTAACCGACAACGAAACAACCAGCTGGTCAACCGACCTCTGTGTCGGGTCTAAAATTTCCACCAACTCCCGCTTCCCCGATAGAATCCATCATACGATACCATTCGACCGTCGGGAAGTTCCTTAGTATCCGGCCACCCCTTAACAAATCAAGAAAGAGTCCAAATCCACTCAGGAAATTCCTCCAACATGCCTTCACGTGGGGGATTTTCTATCCTAAAATAGCCAACCTCACACATCTTTGTCGATCTCAGAATACCTCTTTCACCACCATGACCCCTTCTAAAATCCTGAACACGGCTTTACCCCCTCCAAAAATTGCAAATGTAACTACCCTTGTTGGCAAAATTCCAACGCACGGTTGCCCCTACATCCCCGCCCGAATCAGAGCGAACTGTATGTTCAAGTTGGGAAACAGACCTCTTGTCCTTCAGAAGCCTGTCCAGTGCTTCAGCAATGGTGTCAGCTTTGACGTCGCCTTTTCTTATTGCGATAGCGAAGTGGTGCCTTTCCGCCAGCTTCACGTTTCGTGGCTGATCTCCAAATAGAGCAACGGTTATCATTGGAACGCCTGATGTGACTGCTTCCTGGAAATGGTCCAATTTTACTTTGACTCAAATTTAGCACATAGTTAAAAAATCACCTGTAGACTGTTGTAACCTCCATGCGATATGAAAGCTACCGTCTTGGGATTTCTCAGAAGATCTGCTTGCGGCAGCCATTTGAATAAGTAAACGTTCGGTGGAAGTTGATCTGCACAAGAGTCAATCAGTTGGGCGGAATTCTTACAAGAGCTTTCAAAGTGTTTCTTATTTCGAGGCCATTTATAACGGGTTTGCTATTCATGATGCGGTTGGCTTAAGTCGTTTCTAACCTCCTTCCTTACGGGAACCCGTCCAGCTCCCGTAACGTGAATATTGCACAGAGTTCGGTATTCCGTTTCCTTCCACTTCAGGTTACTTAGGCGTAAAAAAGCGCTCTCGATGGTTCCCACATACCCTCCCCTTCAAAAAGCGAGAAAGTGTCGGGTGCAGACCATGCACCACAAGTGACGACGGCCTTCACAAAATGTTAATGTTTTCTGCCAATGAAATGATTAGCCTGTTGCAGTTGTATTCTATCGATTGTCACTAATTACAACTATCATTTACCAGAAATCAGCTATCACTATGAACAACTTCTAACCAGATTTACTTGGAGGCCGTCGTCAGTTGTGGTGTTTTTGTCTCTGCACGTACTACGTTACTCTCGCCTTTGCTAGTGGAGGGTGATTTCGGTTATGCTGCGACCTATCGATCACGAACTTCTGGACCCATTCTGCCGCAACAAGCGTCACTGCGGGTGTCCCTTCCCATCCTTATTTCACGCCTCCGGTCTGTCTTTTCTTCACTTCAAGTCGTCCTTTCGAAAGCCAATGTTATCACTCGGAGTCATCATCAGGCGTTCGACTTCAAGCTTAGTTACAAAATTGTACGGAAAGTGAAGGGTCGTGATTCGAGGCTTGGCGGGCGTTTTGGAATAAACGTTAGGGTTGGGTATTTTCTGAAAGGGCGCGCGGTAGCACAATAGACTTAGTTGTGTTGGAGAGATCTTTCATAAGCGCTGTCACGCCGTTCTCGGTGGCGCTATCTCAGAATTCAAAGGGGGGTTAGCATTAATTAGAGATTTATATAGAAGGTGATGAGGAGAAATTAATTGGAATACGTATTTTAAAAGAAGGAGTGTTTCAAAATTGACGCACTTTTTCAGAGTCGGCCCCTTATACCTTGAGCACAAAGGTTTAAGTTAGGGAAACGTTGAAAATTGCTGGTCCAAAAAGGCCTGCTTCCATTCAAGCGGCATTCGATGGCTTGCGGTCACTGAGCCGAACGAGAACACCACGAGGCCTTCACAACTGTCCACTATTTTTTGGAACTCCTGAAAATGCTTCCGTAATGGACACTTCTGTGAAGTACTCCAATACAACTCACTGACTAGCGGCAAACCTAGCGGTTAACAGGAGTTGGTCAACGATTGTATGCACTTTATCCTGCATAAGAGCCTACCTTGGTCAGCGGCTTGGCATCCTTTATCTGAATGCCGACGCCTCCAATATTCACAACCTTTGCAAGTGTTGGTCGAGTCAACTCGAACAATTCGTTGGAGTTCACCATCACCTAAATTGACGATTTCTTGAATGGCGCTTCTTGTAGTACGTATAATCGAGAAGCAGTACCAGAGGACACGTTTTTGCAACGTCGACAATGTCAGGAAAATTCGGATCAATAAGTTCGCGGAAGATTTCTGTCTCTCGATCAGCGAACATTCTAGATATAATAATTGACATAAAACTTTTGATTCTTCACATTATGTTACGCTCCACTTATTATTCGCTCGTGATGGAGGGTAGAATTAGTTTTTTCTCCAATGCACATCTATTGTTCGAGCTCCAAGTTGTAGCCGTAGCCTGTTTCCATGCGGTATCCTCCGTCCCGAAGGTGTTGAGGCAAGAGGCGGAGCTAATTTGGAAAGGTCTATACTGAGAGTGGCGTAGAGATGGTCTGATCATACTCTCCAGCACACTTCTACTGGCGTCTCAAAATCAGAACCGCCTCGGAGGTCAACGAGCAAAGGAAGGGGTCCCATTTTGCGCATTCTTGACAGATTTCTTTGCTTTTTTGCAGCATTCCCACTTCCACTATGAACCCTAACCCAATCTCATCGTAATCCCTCGCTTTAAAGAGGAACGCGCTCCCACTTTATCAACATCTGGCCTATCTTTCCACCTATCTCTGGGAACAGGTACACGACAAACCAAATAAGCATTTATTGATAAGGATTTGGTTGAGACCTCCCATAAAAGTTCAAGTATTGCGCTACCCTATAGGCTACATCATCGATGAGGCAAAACACAGATTCGCTGGTCATTTGATGAGGAGAAATGATGGCAGATGGAGTGCTGCAACTGTGCGATGGTACCCGCGCGAAAAGAAACGACCACCCGGCCGTCCTCCAGTACGTTGGGCAGACTCTCTAGCTTATCGCAACAACGTATTTGATCCCGTGTCCCTTAAGGTGTCTGTTCATTGGACAACATAGCTCAAGACCGAGAACGATGGAAAGAGAAGTTGGGACCCGCGCAAGGCCAACCGCCGTGCAGATGGACGGGTCGTCTAAGTATCTAAGTAAGTAAGTTAAGTGCGCC